TTATTTGCGCAACAAATTCCTTGCCGTTGTCAGACTGCAGAATAGCGGGAGGTCCGAATTGCGTAAATATGTGAAAAGAAAACTTGCAACGTGTATAGCTTCCTTTTTTTCCAAGGGAGCTGCCCATGAAAATTGTGTAAAGTGGTCTTTCGCATGCACAATGTACTTATAATCACGGTCTGGGCGGCTTCTCATGTCGATAAGATTGACCTACATTCATCAACAAAAAAAATAACTCAAAAAATAGACAATAATAAAATAAAATAAAAATAAAATAATTAAGATATTGCTTACTTGTACGCGTGTCATAAATTCGTTAGCAATAATAGGCTTTGCTGATATCGCCTTTCTGAGCGGACGTCTAATTGTGCAAATACTACACGCTTTCACAAACTTGCTAATTAATTCTCGAGGAACGTAACTATATTGCTCGCCTATCTGTAAGTATTATATAAATAAAAAATTATTATTTAATCGTGCACTTCCGTAGTTTATCAGAAATAAAAACTAATCCGGTTTAAATGCTAAGTAAACATTGTCGCATTTGGTATCAACTTACTTTGCTATAAGTTTTCTTATATCCAGAATGTTGTAATGCGCTATGTAAGGTGCCAATAACGTCATAAAGATTTTCCACAACACATACGGGTTTTTTGGTTTTTCTTGCTAACAAGCCTTTTAATATTGCCGATGTCCATCGTAGTAAACGTTTTTCGTACCCAGGACTTAAACTTAGGGTCTGGGTTTCTGTATCCGCTATCTTCAAGCGCCCGAAGTGCCTGATCATACGTTTCCTGCGAAATAACTGCTTTTGCGCGTCGATTTTCTGGCAATCCATTTCTATACGCCTGAAACATAATCGTATGATAAACTGTTCGAGATTAAGTTCGACAAATTCGTTGAGTCATATGATTGATCATATCTATTGTGATAGTCTTCGACAATCATAAGATTGAGTTCGACAAAACATAAGACAGATCGTTGAGTCGTATGATTGATCATATTGAGTATGCAAATACGGAACCGTAAATCATACGATCCGCAACTCATCCTACTAAATGATACGCATTGATTATAAATTG